CGCTGTTTTCGTTCAAATCAAAGCGTATATACACGTAGAAAACGTATCCTTGTGTCGCGGCGTTCCGAAGACGAACGAAGCTTTTAGGGGTTTGGAACGACATGGGGGTAAGTGATTAATGACAACATTTTCATTTTTCAGTTTCAAATAACTGTTCAGAATGTATAATTTAGCTTACAATCAACAAAGGAGTTGAAAAATAAGTTCAAATACTCTGTAATTTTCTGATGCTGTTTGGATGTAGCAAAACACCCACAGATGTAGCAGAAAACAACTGCGCAATATTTGGTCACGGACCATTATTCTAACCTTAAAATCTGAATTATGCATAAAATGTCTTCAGAATCATTCATACATGTGAAAATCAGCTGATAATTGAACAAATAGTTGTAACCAGGCTCAGAGGAAGATAGGAATCATGTCTTAGTGGCAGTTTTTTTGGCGATAAATGGATGATTCAATACTTTTCTCACCTTACAAATGCTGCAAAGTGTTAATATTTTGTGAGCAAGTGTGACGTAAAACAGCCACTGTTTTTGGTATCAGCACCCCAAAATATTAATATATTACCAATAATTCAGATATTTAAGAGTATGCTATTTCTGCACTACAAGCATTGATTGGCAGTGTAACCAGCGCCTTTTAGACATTTATTGTCTATATTTACATTACATTCTGTGTTAAACATCAGGCCACATGCTGTCCATGTAGTTGGAATCAAATGTTCATTCTACAACGGTGGCTGGAGCTTAAGTTGGAGGAAATCTGCTACCTGTCACATAGAGTAATCCATCCAGCGCCACCACAGCTGGACTAGTGACCGCCATCTTGACCGATTCCATGAACTGCCATGTGTTTGTCTGTGGATTATAACACTCAACAGAGTCCAGACGAGAGCGGCCTTCCCAGCCGCCCACAGCAAACACATATCCATCCAACATCACCAATCCTGAAAAAAACAGGACTCTTGAACACTCTTGTTCATTTCAGGACAACAGTATCTTCTTTATTTCCAAACAATTGTAAGAAATAAGGCAGGGTGTGATGCTGCATTCCACCCTGAGTTGGAAGTGACCATGAAAAAATTCAATTGCCTGATATTTTGAAAATGATGTTTAAAAAAAAAAAATGGGAATGCTATCATTAGGTTTGCAGGTGTTTCTACAATCAACAAAAAATGTCTCCTTGCAAGTTACGTGGAACTTTGACTCATTGGAAACAAAGTAAACACTCCACTGCACTTTCCCATCTTTTGGGGCTTAACTGAACGCAGCATAAACCACCTGCTCTTTTGTATACGTTTGTACAAATTTGGTGGCCATTACCCAGTTCTGATCTCGCCACGTTCATGGGTGCCATCTCTGACCAGGAGTCAAAGCACGGGTCGTAGCGCCACATCTCTCGACTGGCCGAGCCGTCTGGAAACTCACCGCCAGCCAAATACAGCATGGAGCCTGAAAACAGCAAAATCATTACAAATGCATGAATATTTAATATACCGCCCAGCCCTAACTAAAACCATCACTGAGCAATTGACTCAGGAAGTTGAACAGCGATGTCACATCCTTTAACACACTCACCAGACACGACTAAGCCGTGTTTGCTGACAGCGAAGGGCAGGCAGGCCAGACTCTTCCACTGGCTGGTGAGGGGATCGAAACTCTCCACGCTGCGCAGCACAACCTTATCATCCTCGCCTCCGACAGTCACAATCACCTCAGCCGTGCCTGACAGAGACAAACACACAGCAGCCACTGGATGATTACACTCATCAAGAAGACACTCTGCTTGTTCCAGATGAAAGCATCCCAGGATGCACCTCATGATGTTGGCTGAGAGAATGTCAAGAGCAAATATAAGAGTTCTGACATTTATCACAGAGCAGGGTTATCGTGAACACTTAAAGTTTCTATGACCGTTCTAAATGTGGAAAGTAGTACTAATGAGTAAATGCATCAAAACGTTTGATTGGCCTTTAAATAAACACATTAAAGGGATAGTTCACCCAAAAATTAAAATGTGATGTTTACGGATGTTGGACATTGTGGTGACTGACAGACTGCAACGGTTTAAGTTAAAAAATCTTCGTTTGTGTTCTACTGAAGAAACAAAGTCACCTACATCTTGGATGCCCTGGGGGTAAGCAGATAAAGGGTGAACTATCCCTTTAAATATTAATTGTTCTCATACTTATCGCTCACTTTCTCAATGGTGACAAACTGCATTCAGTAACTTTAGCTCAGCTATCGGTCTTATAACAATGACAAAAAGCCCGACTTAAGAAGCTGTTGTAGCAGGACAGGTTTAGGGACTGTGGTCACCTGTTGCGCGTCGAGGTCGAGCTCGGGGGCCGTACAGCTCTCCTCTGCGGTCCTGCAGCAGTAAATAGTCCTTGGCTTCAGAGATCAGCTTCTGGCACTTGATCGATTCCTTCACAACGTCCAGAGTCTCGATGACGTCGTGAATGTAGTACGGACTGATGAGGGGCAGCCTGATGTGCTCTAGAACCTAGTGATGGGAGAAACTTTAAAGTGCCCCAATTATGCCATTTTTAAGGTTCCTAATATTGCTTTGGGAGTCTCCTACAATAGCATTACATGCATGCAAGGTCAAAGAACGCTTTCGTTTTCTCAAAATATGCATTTAATATCACCTCATTTTCCAGCGATTCTCAAACGATTCGTTCAAAGAAGTTCTAAGATTCAGTCTCTCTAAACCCCTCCTTTCCGTGAGCCTGCTCTGCTCTGATTGGTCAGATGGCCTAGTCTGTTGTGATTGGTCTACGGTGTACAGCGCGTGTCGTAAATGATACAGCCGTTGCCATAGTTACGTATTTTGAACGCTCGATAGAAAATATAAATATCTATTATTTATCATACTTGTGATCCAGTGGAGCCAGCTGGTCCAAATAAACAGGGTACTGAGCCATCTTTCAACAGCAAGCGTTTAGTGAATGCCGCGTAGAACTCCCCGAGATTAGAGAAGCAGTCGTCAGTAAAATGACGTGTTTGTGGGTGGGGTCAAGTTGTTCGCTGCCGGCCAACGCAGAACATAGGCGGGAATTATGCAAATGTTTTACCCCGTGACAATTACTAATGACTCGTTTAGGCTGTAGAGAGTCGATTCTTTATTTTGGGAGACAATAACTTTATTTATCGTGCACTTTCGGCTTTACAACTTTGCTGATCGTTTACATTCACATACAGCTACATTACACACTGCATGAAAGGCACTATTGGAAATGGCATAATAGGGGCACTTTAAATGAACTGAACCAATTGCTTCGCAAAATGAGTCACCGTTTCGACGGTTTCTGTTGCAAATGTTTTAAAGTGTAATCTATATATATATATATTTAATATGCGTTATTTTAGTAAATCATAGGGCTTGTTTTGTTTGTTTTATGGATAGCTTGGTTAAATAATGGCAATAAGTGACTATGAACTCTTCCTTTTTATTGTACAAATGTGTCATTAAAAAGGTTTACAAATTTAAATGAAAACTTTAATTTCAGTTTCAGTAAAAAATTCATTTCAGTGCATGATACAATCCAGCATATACTCAACAGAATACCGTCTCCCATAATGCAATGTGTTTGACTTCATTTTACATTTCTTGTGTGACGAATGAACCAGACGCAATATATAGCACAATATTGCACAAAATCTGATTAAAATGCATCAAATAACACATTTAATTTTGATAAGTGAATAAAAATTTATCAATTGACAAATAAATAAAATCTGGTCTCTTTGGAACGCTTGAATTAAACCACTCAACTCATATGAACTACTTTTCCAATGCGTTTATGAATTTTTTGAAGCATCAAAATTTTGATGGAATGGACTTTCAACGAAGGGACAAAAATCTCTCAAGGTTTGAAGCGACATGAGGGTATGATAACACAATTTTAATTTCGGGGTGAACTATCCCTTTAAACCAAATTATGAGTAATAGTGATAATGACATTTGTCTTAGCAAACGCTACTGATTGCAACTTAAAATCAATCCTGTTCATTCAGAACTGCTTTACATTCCCATGAGATATGCAATGAGCTTTTCTCAAGAGCTGTAATTAAGGTCTAGTCTTTAAATAACTGCATAGCAACAATGATATGTAAACACCGCAATCCGACCCCAGGGCTAGATTTTCGCTTCTCGCACATCCCTGTGAAGAGACGGTTCTCTTCATAATCATAGCCTGTAAGGAGCATGTGAGCTTTCGCAGGCTTAGTTCATCAAAACACATAAAGGCGGCTAATCCCAGACATCTGCTGGAGCTCCGTCACCACCCACTCTACTGAGATCATAATAAACCTCCCATGGAAACACCACTCAAAAAACCACCAATACGTGGAGCTTGCTAACACAGTGTCTAACCAGGACTAACACAATAAAATGATAAGGGAAATGTTATTTCGGCTACTAAAATCTTTTTGTCCTAGCTGCAACCTTAGACTTTAAATACAATGGAAATGTCTATTACATCGCAAGTCTTAGTCTTATAGTCCAAGTCTTCTGAAGAGACACTTTACATAATGAACAGATTTAATTTAGGTTTTTATTCACATATCAACATTGATCAACATGCATACATAAAGCACATCAACTACGTTAAATAACAGCTAAACTGTACTCTACGAAAAGGTCTGAAGACTGATACTTCACAGCGTGACTTCTTAGTGGAACTGAAAGAACACAAACTATAAAGCTGCAGGTTTGTATAGCATTGCAGAAAAGTGGAGTAGATTGCATATTTCTACATTTTGGATTTTGCATTGTTTGCTATGTTGAGTTTATGTTATAAAAAAGATGCAGCAGAGTGTGACGTTATATCATGTCTTAAGAAATTATGTGTGTTCAAAATGTCTAGTTGTGACCGCAGCATAAGTGATAGAGTGCATCAATGGAGAATTAGAATCAGTTGGGTCTCTTCCTGAATACATAAAGATGTTACCTTCTCGAAGCTCTGTCTGCGTGAGGAGTTCTTCTCCAGCCAGACAACAGCCGCCTCAAACACCGTCTCCTCTTTTGGCACGTTCAGATGGTCACTGGAAATGATCTCAGTCAGTTTATCGGCACAAAGAGACAGAAACTCCTCCTGATGAAGCGAAACAGAAGAGAAAGAAGGCATAAGTTCATAGTATAATGAACTCTTAAATGAACAAGGACACTTAGAATCCTGTCATGAACATTTAAAGTTAAGAGAGTCAAGGCTGAAATTACCACATCACATTTTATTAAAACTGAACACTTCAGAGAGAATTTCCACAAATCACACTGTTTTTTTTTAACATTTTTTCACTAATAATGTTAGTCAAGGGCTCTTGTCTGTGTACGCAGATGATAGAAATAACTATACTAGAGGATACAGTAGTAAAGGTGCTTTAAGTGATGTTAGAATATATGTATTTTCCACCACTTTCAGCCATTAAAGGGGTCATATGATGCGATTTCAAGTTTTCTTTTCTCTTTGGAGTGTTACAATACAAATGCCTCGTTTATAATGGGTTTGAATGTTTTTGTCTAGTCGCGCCGGGACACGGCATCACAGTATGGTAGGGGCATAACATTTACGTCACACGCTTGAGGTATTCGGCCAATCACAACACACTGGATAGCTGGCCAATCACAGCACACCTTGCTTTTCAGACCGATGAGCTTTGTAAAAATCGACGCGTTTCAGAAAGGCGGGGCATAGAGGAGAAACAATAATGTACAGTATGTGGAAAATAATGTGTTTTTTTAACCTTTAAACAGCATAAACACATTTCATTACACCAAATAATGTTCTTTTTTAGCAACGTCATATGACCCTTTTAAAGGAGTATTTAACCACTAGCAAGATGGGGAAACTTATCTGTCTATGGAGTAGAAAGGCTAAATATTTTCTGAAATCTGAGCTATACATGAAATATTTGTCAGCATTCTTTCCAAAAACCACCCCTGCTTTCCAAAACCTGCAGAGGCACCGCACTGTATAGTTAAATAAAGTGAAATGTGAAAATAAATGTGTCGATTGCGATATTACATTTAGATCTGCTCAGGTTGCAGTAAAGATTTTTTTACACATTGTTTTTGCTGCATTGAGCATTATAATCGATCACACATGTATCTGCAGAGCATGTGAATGCAATGGCCAATCAGAGGAATTTAGATGTATAAATAAATGGTTCTTGGTTTGTTTTGTCTGTGTAGCCTAAAAGAATATGACTTTTGTAATGTATTCCGTCAATTCATATATTATGTAATAATCTTTATACAATAATCAACAATTATGATCGGCATAATATTGCAGCACTAGCCTATTAAGAGTTCCTGTTATTTTAAATGTATAATTCAGATACTCTCTGTAGGCTATTTAAAATTGCATTAATCTCATAACATCATGCAACTGTTGTGTAAATCCATTTATATCACCTTTGAACAGCATTAAACAGTCTGTGTAAATAAACATAAATGCCATGTCAGATGCAGCTTCTGACTTTTGTTGATGTTGATCAAACAGGTTGCTAATTTGAATGAATTAATTGATTAAATATAGATATTTCATGTAAAACACAGATACATTTAATAGTATAATTATAAAAAGTTGCATTTACAATTGTAAAAATGCCCCAGGAAATAACTTCCAGGGGTCAGATATTGCCCGTTGACGCAAAAAGTTAAATTCTGACCCTAGCCTTGTCCAAATATCCACACTTGCGGTCTTTGCACTTGACCACTTGACTACTTATATGACGTATTTCCTGTATTTGGTCCAAGTGTTCAAGTGAGCATGAAGACCACAAGTGTGTGTACAACTTTTCATTACCTGATGGGACACACTTGTAGTGTTGTAAAAATGCAAGTGTTTACATAGCTTTATTTTAGTTTTAATTTTAAATACTTTGCATTTTAAAATCAACTTCTAAATGTCTGTTCAGTAGTCCCTATAACATGACAATTTTAATTTGTGGTGCTTCTAATTATTTTTTTTTTTATTATATCCACTGATATAAAAGGATGTTTTGGGAACTTTTTTTCAGGGTTTGAACAAATAGCCTGTAAAAAACAAAGGATTGCTTAATTTAACATTTAATTTTCATTTAACATAGACACAGCTCTTTTTCTTTTTCTTTTCTGTGTTGATTCTAGGGGGAATATGCTGAATTCTGCATATTATAGAGCACTCATGTCACATGGGAAAACTAAATTATATGAAAATATCGGATAAAGTTTTGCCAAGTTTAGCACTGGACTATTCCTTCCTATTAGGCAGCCTTTTGACAGAAACCATGACTATTACCTGAAAATAAGAGCTGAAGGAGGCCAGTACAATACGGTGGCAGGGAAACTCCTGGCCTCCGCAGCACAGAGTCACATCACAGAAAGCTTTATTGAGCCGTAAGCTGTTCAAGCCTTCCAGCACTTTGTTGGGATGCCGCGCTTCCACAAACACATAGTCCTCGCTGTCCAGAGACGACAGTGGGAAAGCAGAGTCCTCCACAGAGGGAGACGGAGGGAGCGTGGAGGTGGACGGAGAGGTGGCCAGCAGATTCACAGCCATTATTTCCATCTCAACACTCAATCAGGCAGACAGAACATATGAGACGAGCATAAAGAGTACACATGAGTTCAAGCAATGCAACATCCTATACACCACAAAAAACTATTAAAAACAGCAGTTTCTAATTCTTGTATAATAAATATGCATGCAGGCTTTTGACCTCATATCATTTGAAAGGCTGAATGGAATGTGTGTGTGTGTGTGTGTGTGTGTTTGTGTGTGTGTGTGTCTGTGTCTGTGTGTGTCTGTGTGTGTGTGTGTGTGTTTGTGTGTGTGTCTGTGTCTGTGCGTGCGTGTGTGTCTGTGCGTGTGTGTCTGTGTCTGTGCGTGTCTGTGTCTGTGTGTGCGTGTGTGTGTGAGATTGCAAATGATGAAAAATTAAAACTAAATAATGTTAAATAGAAAAACTCTTAGACCATATTTTTTGGTCAATTACTCAAGGAAGATATTAATACAAAGAGTATGTTAAAAACATACTTTATTTATATTTATTATTTTATTATAACGTATTAAATAACACATTATAACAATACTACAGTACTAAAATACATAATTACACATATTCAACTAATAATTAAACAGTCTAATATTAAACATCCTCTAATATAAAATTAAACAGTATCTAAATGTAATAAAATACATTAACATGTAACTTTACTATACCAACATCAATATAATCCACAACAACGACAGCAAGTATTATATTAAACACAATAATGTCAGAAAATACTTGGAAGTAAAAAAAATAAACATCCTGTCAAATCAAATCAAACGTGAATCCAGTTCAGGTCATACCATTCCTGTTGTTTATGTTTATTCTTACAAATCTATTAAATTATATAATGATTAACGATGTTGGTGTGGTGTAAATATAAAGATTATTAGATACTCAAACGTTAAAAATGCTGTATAATATAGTAAAACACATAAGGGAGGAGTTGACTGCTAAATGCAGTTAGTATATTTCTCTAATAATCCATGCGAATAATGCGGCAACGACACGCATCCGAAAACAACAGCAGAAAGATCTTACCAGAAAACATGTCTGAGTTGATACCGCAGCCCGAAATATTAATATCTTCACCTGCAACTGTTTGTGAAGAGTCGTGACGCCTTCTTCTTTAAACAGACTGAGGCGCAGGAAGGAGGAGACGAACCATCAGCGCCACCTGTCGGTCTGGCGGCACGGATCCGCTCGCCAGGAGCGAGAAGAGTGTTCCTGCACAACCGGAGGCTGCAGTTTCAAGACCGCAGTTCTAGGACCCTATTCTTTTGTAACAGCGCCACCTACCGAATTGGATAATATAGCGGCGGCTGCAGGTTCAGGACCGCATTTCTGGGACCCTGGTTGTTTAGTTTGTAGTAATGTTTGTACATGTTGTTAAAGATATGGAATCTCAGGGACATTTTTTTTATTTCAATTGTGATTTTTGATTTATAAATGCATCAGATGTTAATTACAAAGTGTGTAATATAGGGTCCTAGAACTGCGGTCCTGAAACTGCAGGAACATACTATTGGCCAGGAGCTGGTTATTGTTTTTAATTCAGTTCTGACGGGTTAAGGTTAATTAATGGGAGAAACGAAGCTTTTCGAAGATCTTCATCACATGAACTAACATGAACAAAACTGAATATTACATGGCATTTTATATTTTTTAATGTTATTTTTTTTAACGATGTATTTACTTTGAATAATTTCTTTATATTTGTGCACACATACTAGACATAGGTCAAAACATTGACAAATTTGGCTGAATAACAAAAGCCAGAAGTGCTACTAAATAAAGAGCCGTTCGGGAGCCGAAAGAGCCGGTTCTTTTTGCTGAGCTGAGCCAAATGATCCGGATCCCTAAAAAGAGCCGGAATTCCCATCACTATTAGCATGCTTTTAATACAGTTCTGAAGGGTTAGCGACTTAGCTTAGTTAGCGTTAAGGTTAATTTCATGGGAGAAACGAAGCTTTTCGAAGATCTTCATCAAATGAACTAACATGCTTCGCAAAATTACTCACTCCCTGCGTCTCAATGTTCATACTAGTGATGTTACATATGACACTGAAGCTTCAAAGCGCGTATCGGGTAAGCAGCGCAGTTTCTCACAAGCTCTGTGCCGGAGCGCGTGTTGTTTTCAGAGAATCACGTGATCCGCAGAAAATGAAGCCTCACTATCTGTCCAATCACGTGCGCGTGTCGGAATGTTCGAAACCCCAGATCTTACTTTACGAGTAAGTTTTCATTCAGACTTATTCCGTTACATTTTTAAATACCCAGCCATACAAGTAATATGAAGAATACAAACTATTTCAGAAAAAATATATATTTGGCATATGCAATTCATATGTGTACATTATTCTTCTGTTACATCATATTGATATTCATATTGGCATTTAATGCCACAGTTTAATGGGTAAATTTGAACAAACACACACACACACACTATTTTCACAGGCTTTTGGCTGCTGTTTTTAATTGACCACCAGATGGCGCTATTTTTGGCACTTGCGAAGCTTTGAATCTTTTCCCAAAGCCTCAGTGCTTCATGAGGCTTCATTTGCCCATCACTAGTTCATACTATCCATCCTAA